GAGGCAGATGGATCTCTGTGAGTTCAAGACCAGCCTGGTCTACAAGAGCTAGTTCCTTGCTTAGTGGCACTGGCCTAAATAGAAGGATTTTACATAGTCCCAGCCAAGTACACAGGCAACTAAGGATTAGCCAGGCAGAGACAGGCAGGAGAGGCTCTAGCTGAGCAAAGTGTACTTGTTCGACCACTAGTGGGGGCAGAAAAGCCAGAGAGAGACAAGACCAAAGGAGGGCCTGGCATGCAGGTCAGCAGCCACAGATGCATAGGGCCATATATGGCCAGTGTGCCTGCCTTCAGCTGCCCCAGGTAGGTCACATGACCTGCCACCTGGGAATGTAAGCCATAGGCTCGAACATCTGCTCATTCAACTATTGAAATGCTAGGTGCCAATACCTTGGGTGTGGAGGATCTCACTGAGCAAAACAGAGCTCTGCCCCTGTCTGGTGGGAGGAGACAGATAAGCATCATAAACAAGTTTCTATATGATGCCTTAGAGCGTGCTGGGGCCCTGGGAAAGACAGCAATGAGATAGAATACTGGAACAGAGGGGGTGGAGCTTCGGGCCAGAGGTCATGGGCACTGCAACTTTAAGATTTCCCAAGGCAAGACAAATACCCTTTTACCCTCCATAAATTCTCTCAATTCTACTTACTAATCTAAATCATTTATTAGTTGCTTACTTTGAGGTAGTTATCACTTTATTTTTGGCAGTGCTGGCAATCAAGTCCAAAGCCTCACACATGGCAGTCAGGTCAGGCCTGCGCAACAAGGACTTTACCAACTGCGCTATCTCTGCATCCCTAATGGGCTATACCTTTAACTCTCTGCAGCAGAACTGGGCCTCTCCCTTAACCTTCAGCTTTCTGATTTCATGGTTTCCCATCAGTCAGAATCAGCACATTAGTAACCAACAGGGCGGTGTCTGTGCCGACGCTAAGACTATCTCTGCTGGATGAGTTATGGCCCTGGTCTTCCCTGTGTTGAACGCCTAACCCTCGAGTCCCCAGACTGTAACTACCAGAGAATGAAATCATGGGGCTGGAGAGATGGCTCTGCACTGACTCTTCTTTCAGAGGACCCAGGTTCAATTCCCAGCATCCACATGGTGGCTCACAACTGTAACTTCAGTTCTTGGGGACCCGGTCCCCTCACACAGACATACATGCAGGTAAAACACCAATGCACATTTAAAAAAAAATAAAAAATAAAGAAAATAGAATCATCGTAGACACAGTTTGTAGTCCCGGGACAGGCTGGGTACCTAGCACCAAATGACTGGTGTAACTTGGGAGAGCAAGATGGCTCAGTGGGTAAAGACACTTGTTATTCAAGCCTGGTGGACTGAGTTCATATCTCAGAGTTCATGTGAAGGCAGAGGAGAGAACTGACTCTGATTGTTGTCCTCTGACTGCATATACCTTACCCCCCCAACACACACACAGATGATTATGATGTGTATACATGCATGGTTTGTGTGTGTGTGCGTGTGTGTGATTTCTTGAGACAGTGTTTCCTTGTGTAACTCGGGCTGTCTTGGAACTCACTGTGTAGACCAGGCTGGCCTCAAACTCACAGTGATCCACCTGCCTCTGGATCTCAAGAGCTGGGGCTAAAGGCGTGCACCACCATGGTGGGCAAGAATACTTTTTTTAAGTAAAATTTTTTTTTTCGAGACAGGGTTTCTCTGTAGCTACGGAGCCTGTCTTGGAACTAGCTCTTGTAGACCAAGCTGGCCTCGAATTCACAAAGATCTGCCTGTCTCTGCCTCCCGAATGCTGGGATTAAAGGCGTGTGCCACCACCACCTGGCTAAAGTAAATTTTAAAAAGAAAACATTTGAACAGCTGTGGGAAGGAGGTGATGGCTTTAAGGCAAATCACCAGGAGGTAAAAAATAGACAGGAGGGCTGGAGAGATAGATGGCTCAGAGGTTAAGAGCATTGCCTCCTCTTCCAAAGGTCCTGAGTTCAATTCCCGGCAACCACATGGTGTCTCACAACCATCTATAATGGGGTCTGGTGCCTTCTTCTGGCCTGCAGGCATACACACAGACAGAATATTATATACATAATAAATAAATAAATATTTTTTAAAACTAGACAGGAGACACCTTCCTCTCCAGTCTTCGAAGAACCCAGCACCTTGATCTCAGACCTCTGGAACTGTAAGACAATAAGTTTCTGTTATTCACAGGGGTATTTTATCTCAACATCCTACTTAGCTAATGAATAGACTTAGATTTCCAGGTTGTCCAGCTAAGCTTGCCCTGCCGTGTTTAGATGTGCACTTCCCCCACCACCACAAAAGATCAGGTGTTGTAAATGTCCTCAATGCAAGGATGCAGGGAGAGGAGTCCTTAAGAAGCTCTGACCTGGTGGATGAATTCCTAATGTTAGTATCATCTTCAAGTTCTGCCTCCTCTTGCTCTCTCTGTCTCTCTTTGCCCTCCCACTGGAGGATGACAGAGTCAGATGGCCCTTAGTAGATCCCTAAATCTTGGACTTCCAGCCTCCAGCATCATGAGCCAATAAATTTCCGATTGATATAAATTTCCCAACCTGTGAGGGTACTGTCAAAGCAACATATGGGACAATAAGAACCACAAGCCCTGAGAAGCTGGCAAGGGAGATAGGACAAGTGCCAGGGCCATTCTCGGTACAAATAGCTTCTTGTTCCCTTTGAATATCAGTGGGGACACTGGGCTGGGAGGTAGCCAGAGCCCTGCTCTAACCACTGCCTACCTGCTTCCTGATGGACAAGCAGCCTGCTGTTAGCCTTTGGGGATGGGCTTGAAGGGGCAGCTATTCTCAACTATTGAGTATAAATAGAAGCACGTGCTGCCAGGGGCACTGAGAGGAAACTGCTTGTTTGGACATATTCTAAAGGTCTGCTCTTACTGTAGACCCAGACACCTAGCACTCCTCAGTAGTGTACCGTCTTAGAGTCAGTTTGAACTGGTTTCTTTTACGAAGCCACACCAGTCCCTCCCACACAGAAATCCTTTCAAACAAACAATCTGCAGCAACAAAGCCTTCCTGCTGACCCCAGGAAAAACTTGCAGGGTTTCTAGTTGAGAACAGAAGGTCCTGTGGGGATTGCCCAACATTTCTGGATGCAACATCACAACCATAAAAACAAACCAAACCCCAAGGCTTGTTGGCAGAGAATCAGTCATAGGACGGGCATCAGTGAGGGTCAATGGAGGTTGCCTGAGCCTTCCCCCAGGCCATGTGGAAAGCTCTTGACAGGTAGGAATTCGGTACATGGTAAACTAGGGCCGTAGTCACCTGTTAGAGGATGGTTCAGGTCTACCAGTGAAGCCCACCATATCTGGAGAAGACATCAAAGATAAGGACACAATTCAGAGCCTGGTTAACTGAAGCTGTTCTTGGACTTGGTACTTCAGGTCCCTTATAATCAGCCTCTGCCTTGATTTACTCTTTTTTTTTTTTTCCTTTCTAGGTAGGTTTCTTTGTTTAGCTTTTGGTGCCTGTCCTGGAACTTCCTCTGTAGACCAGGCTGGCCTCAAATTCACAGAGATCTGCCTGCCTCTGCCTCACAAGTGCTGGGATTAAAGGCGTGCGCCACCCCTGCCTGGCTTGATTTACCTTTTCTCCTTTGTCTTCCTCACCCTTGGACTGCACTCCTTCAGGTATGTCTCTGCTCTGCTAAGTGAGGTACCTGTGGAGGCTGGAAGAGGGTGTCAGGTTTCCTGGAACTGGAGGCAGACAATTGTAAGCTGCCAAGTAAATTCTAGAAATGCAACCCAGGTCCTCTGCAAAAGTACCAGAGGTCTGAATCACTGAGCCATCTCTCAAGCCCAGTGATTTCTTCACCTTTATAAACTCTTTAGCCTATTTCGATATATCTCATAAATGATTCTGGGACTATCCTGGAAAGGGTGATCATAGAAAAAAAAGAGTGGCTGCATTGTGTGGCTAGAACAAGACTACCTGGAAGTCTCTAGAAACACATATTTCAGCTAATATTAAGAACTTTCCAGTCAACAGAACTATATCACAAACTTCAAGGCAAGCTTGGGGTACAGAATTACTGAAGACTGTATACACCATCAAGAATGAGGCAGGGATCCAGGCAAGAAGAAGATAAATGGATTGGATAAACACCTGAAACTGGTTGATTGATTGGTTGATTGTTTGATTCATTCATTCATTCTTTTGATGACACTGAGCACCAGGTGTAGTGGCAGGAACTTGAAAGGTAAGCACAAAACAAACACACCCCGTAGCTAACACACATATCAAGGTCACATGTTGGGTGACAAACAAGTCAAAGGAAGCCTTTGACTTCCTGGAGTTTATACGCTTGTAGAAGAGATGCGTATAATTATGAGGACCATTGGGCACCAAGAAAAACGTGGGCAGAGAACTAGGGTGGAGGCCAAAGAAAAGACTTTTCAGTTGAAAAGGACCGCCTGTAGGAAGCTTGTTTGTGCCTGACCTTGAACTTTCTAAAGAGTTCAGGTGCCTTCTGGCTCCCTGTGCCTGCTCTTCTCTTCACTAAGTCTTTTAGTCTTTTTTTTTTGTGTCGGCTTAGCCTAGCCCACGTGTGTCAGTCCTGGAACTGAGAGTCCTGCTCCAATGACAGGTAACCAGGCTGGTCGGCCCAGAGGAGACAGGTGGGCTGCAGCCACGCCTCCCTCTTTCTTCCCAACTCCACTGAAAGGCTAGCACAGACTTCAGGGTGAAAGGGAAGCAGTAATGCCAGGGCATGTGCCAAGAGTCAGGCAAAGACTCAGGTTTCAGAGCAGCCAGCCAGCCCTCATCAGAGCAACTCAGTGACACTGGCCAGCATCCAAAGCAGAATGCACACAGCCTGTGCGACAAGGGCATGTGGGTACAAGAGTTCTTCCCACACACTCAAAGAGAATAACACCATGATGAGGGAGTGATTTCTTATTAATAAAGAAACTGCCTAGGCCCCTTGATAGGTCCACCCTTAGGTGGATGGAAAAAACAGAAGAGAATGCTGGGGAAAAGAAGCTTAGTAGAGGAGTCGCCATGATTCTCCCGCTCCAGACAGACGCAGGTTAAGATCCTCCCTGGTAAGCCAGCTCGTGGGCTACACAGAATATTAGAAATGGGTTAGAACAATATGAAAGAGCTAGCCAATAAGAAACTGGAACTAGCCGGGCCAGGCAGTGTTTAATAGAATACAGTTTCCGTGTAATTATTTCTGGGCATAAGCTAGCCATGTGGGCGGCCGGGGGCCGGGGACGCAGCCCTGCCGCTCCTACTTCAACAACACCAAAATACAGCAGCTATTTTCAAAATATCTGCTTCATTGTGATAAATAGTAGGCTAGGTCTCATGCAGGCCAGTCATATAGGCATTATATAATCACCAGACAGCCCCCATAGGATGGGCAGAATCATTGTCTCTGTTTTGGAGAAGCTGCCGAAGTGTATCCATAGCCAAACAGGTACTGAATAGTGACCCGAGTGTCTCTGGAGCCTGGGTTTCTCGTCTTTTCTGGGAACCCTCTCACGGAGTTAGATGAGAACCCACTTAAGCATAGTGAGTCAAAGTGAGCTGCCCTCTCTGAGTTCCAAAAGCAGGTAAGCCCTCACCAGTGTGCCGTGTAGCCAGAGAAGCAGCTAAACTGTGAGTTTACAGCAGGAACAGAGCGAGAAGATATACAAAGGGAAAGAAAGCATGTTCCTATCACAGAGAGGTAGTTAAATTCATATAGCCACATTAGAAAGATATGACAAAGCTCACAAAAATACAGCACTTGGTCATGTGAAGCCTGGCGGTGGTGGCGCACACCTTTAATCCAGCATTCAGGAGGCACAGGCAAGGGGTTGTCTGTGAGTTACAAGCCAGCTGGTCTACAGAGCAAGTTTCAGGACAGCCAGGGCTACACAGAGAAACCCTGTCTGGAGAAAAAAAGGGTTGCACGTGAAAGAACAATACAAAGGCCCCTGTCCCTCCTGGAAAACCCTGACATTGTACAGCACAGTGGCTTGGCTGCGCTCCGAATCCTGCTGCATCTGCTCATGCTGCCTTCTCCACTATGCCGAGATGATTCGTGGGGTGTCCACGGGCACTCAACCCACCCTGGCCAAGATGCAGGAGATAGCTATGAGAGGATGGTCCAGCTTGAAGAGAAAGAAACCAGGAAGTTCTCTCAGGTGGTGTCCTGTGCAAAGTCCTTCACAGAGGTCACTGGTAGGTGTTTGTAGGTGAGTCTCCCTCGTGAAGACAAGCCCTTGACCCTGTTTACAGTCAAATATATGATGAACTGACCTACTTCTAATTCCAATTCCTTAGTCTCTGTACTCACCACTCTGCTTCCTGGCAGGCAGATATCTGTGAGTTGAGGCCAGTCAGAGCTACACGGTGAGAATCTGTCTAAACACACACTTACAAACTCGAAAGCACAAACAAACATCCAACACCAACCAACAAATAGATAGATAGGCATTGGTGTCTTCTAAAGATTGCAATTCTCCTCACAGACCAGGGATTGATTCCTACTAAATCTCAGAAAGCTCTTGTAGGCAATAAGAGTATTCTAAAATGGATACAGAAAAGGCGAAAGAATAAGAATAGTCAAGGAAAATTTAAAAACCAGGAGAGGTGCTCGTGGTTAAGAGTAAATGCTCTTGCAGGAAACCCAGGGTTCAAGTCCCATCACCCATACATATGGTGGCTCACTGTTGTCTGAAACTCCAGTTCCAGGGGATCTAGTGCCCTCTTCTGACCTCTGTGGGCACCAGGCACACATGTGATACCAGATATACATGCAGGCAAAACACTCTTATACCTAAATAAAAATAAATCTTCAAAACGAAACAAAACAAGAAAAACCCAGAGCTAGTAGTCTTAGACTACGAGTTGTCAAGATTGCTTTAAACTGGCCTTGGGGCTGCAAGTTTATAATCCCAGCCTAAGGCAGAGGGTGGAAAGTTCAAAGCTAGTCTGTACAAGCAAAAAGACCGCATCTCAAAGAGTACAAAGTAGAGCAAGGGTTTCAAACATAGCCTAGAGAGATAGCACTGGACTAGCACAAAAAAAAAAAAAAAAAAAAGGAAGAAAGGAAGGAGCAAAAGAGAGGAGAGGAGAGAGGGAGAAAAGGAGGGCAGGAGGGAAGGAGGAGGGAAGGAAGGAGAGAAGGAGGGAGGGAGTCAGGGAAAGATGTACATAAAGTGGCAATGATTAAGAACAGGCAGCCTTAAGTGTAACAATTCAACAAACAGGAAGTTCAGAGAGATTCAGAAGTAAGGGTACTTTGTGTTGTTGCTTTTAAATTTTTATTACATTTTCATTTGTGTGTGAAGGAGTCTGTGAAAGTGTGTGTGTGTGTGTGAGTGTGAATGCATGGGAGTGAGTGTGTATGTATGTGTTATGTATGTGAGAGTGTGTGTGCGCATGAGAGAGAGAGAGAGAGAGAGAGAGAGAGAGAGAAAGAGAGAGAGAGAGAGA